TGATTTCCTTCGGAAGGAGGGAAATGGAAGGGAGGCTAACACATGCCTCACCACTGTTATGAATGTGAAAAGCTTCCGAAATGAGACGTGCACGTTCATCGTGGTAGTATGATAAGAAAATGGTATCTTTAAAAGATGGGTGGCAACCGCAGTTGTTACAGTGAAGGGAAAGCTGACTATCTGTAGCGCGATTATGAACTTTGTTTGAATGCTCGCGCAAGCGGTCATTAGCACAACGGCCCGTTTGCCCTATATAACACCGACCACAGGAAAGAGGAATCTTGTAGACAACGCCATGACGACATTTCACAAACTTGTGCCTGTGCTTCTTAGTACATCCTTTTTGTACGGTGCCTCACGATTAACATGCTGGCATAAGCTGCCTAGCTTATTTTGGGCAGAAAATAGCAGCTTAATGCCTGCCCTGGCGACAACTTTTTTAAATTGTGCGCTACCTTGTGCACATAGGGGATAACTGCTACGCTTTTTAGCCGGCTATTTTCAGACTGCACAGTCTGAAAATAGCCGGCTGCACTGATAAGGACAAGCGCCTGGCCACTGTGCAGTCTGAAAATAGCCGGCTAAAAAGCGTAGCAGTTATCCCCTATGTGCACAAGGTAGCGCACAATTTAAAAAAAGTTGTCGCCAGGGCAGGCATTAAGCTGCTATTTTCTGCCCAAAATAAGCTAGGCAGCTTATGCCAGCATGTTAATCGTGAGGCACCGTACAAAAAAGGATGTACTAAGAAGCACAGGCACAAGTTTGTGAAATGTCGTCATGGCGTTGTCTACAAGATTCCTCTTTCCTGTGGTCGGTGTTATATAGGGCAAACGGGCCGTTGTGCTAATGACCGCTTGCGCGAGCATTCAAACAAAGTTCATAATCGCGCTACAGATAGTCAGCTTTCCCTTCACTGTAACAACTGCGGTTGCCACCCATCTTTTAAAGATACCATTTTCTTATCATACTACCACGATGAACGTGCACGTCTCATTTCGGAAGCTTTTCACATTCATAACAGTGGTGAGGCATGTGTTAGCCTCCCTTCCATTTCCCTCCTTCCGAAGGAAATCAATTTTCTGTCAAACTAATTTTTTGGAATGCCTCTGCGCAGGCTCACATGCCGCTGCGTAGGCTGTTTTTTGCGATAGTGCGGTGGTATATATGTATGCTGACTGAAGAAATAAACATATTTGGTTGCTAGTCAGCGCCCTGTCCTGTTGTCCTTTCTTTTTTTCCTGTGCCGTCTTTTTAGCGCTGTTTTTTAACTTAACTTCTGTGAATAAGCTAATATCTTTGCTTTCCATACCAGCTCCACACTTTTGGAGCATATAATCAACAAACGCTATGTAGAATACCTAAACGCACACAACCTATTTACTCGATGACTACACAGTTGCTTGAATTTACGCATGACATTGATGCTTCTCTTACCAACCGAAGAGATTTATGCCGTATTTATTGGCTATACTAAGAATTTGACATTGTTTGCCATGCCAAACTTCTACCTTCTTCACAGCTTTGGTGACAAGAAGCTGGTTGATTGGATAACAAATTACTTGCAATCACACTCAAAGTTTGTTACGTTGAACTACGCGAAGTCATCTGACGTACAGATCCACGTCAGGGGTGCCTGAAGGCTCAGTGCTTGGGCCGCTTTTGTTTATCATTTGTATAAGTGATGTAGCAGAGATTATCAGTAACACCAAAGTTAAACATGAATTGTAAGCAGACAACTGCTTTATCTGAAAAATCATCTCTACTGAAGACAAGATGCACTGATAACTGTTTTTCATCGTTTTGTAACAGGAGTGAAACTAGGCAATCGTCTGCGAAAATGCCATAGTCATGACATTTTCAAATAAGAAATGGCCTCTTCATTTTGCACATACTAATTATGGAGTACGTTTAGCATGTGAGATGGAGTTTAAATACATTGGTATAGCTATCCCAAAAAATGTTAAATGACGCAGTATTTTGGAAAAGTACAATATCTTCGAAAACATTCGTATCTCCGACACACATAAAGCATAGACAAAAGGATGCGGACTAAGAGAGCATAAGACTTTGGTAAAACTCGAATAAGGGTTGGTTGTTTGGCGACCTCACCACAGACATGACATAGCTATGTGAGAATTTGTTAAAAGCAATACTGCTTACATTACCTTGCTTTTACAAGTGTTTTTCGTCACTTCACATGTGCATGTTTTATCACTGCAGCCTATGTCAATTATCGCTTGTCATCGTGTCATCCTACAGCATAAACCAGATGAATCGCAATGCTTCCAGTGTGCTAGCACTCACATCTTTCGTTGCATCTTCTGCTCACCGTACCCGCCGATTTGATATTCTAAAAATTGTGCCGTTAGATAAATTAAGAATTGTTTTCATTTTCTTTTCTGTTGTTGCTGTTTGCTTTTCTACGAAACGTGCATTTTTGGAATGAGCTTAATGAGTATTTGCGCAGACTCGGTTTTGAGCAATTGGAAAAAAGAATTGCGTGAACATTATCATCAGCTTGACTACGCCCCACTGCAGGGCAAAGACCTCTGCCATGGTCCACCAATCAGCCCTGTTTTGTGCTTTCTGTTGACACGTTAAACCTGCGAATGTTTTATACTCATCAGCCCACCTGTCTTTCTGTCTATTCTTTGTGCATTTGCCTTTACTGAGATCCAAACAGTTGCCCTTAATGACGAGCGTTTACTCTACCTATGTGCTACGTGCTCGGCCAATGTCCATTTCTTCTTCTTAATTTCAACTATGATATTCTGAACGCCACTTTTTTCCCTTATCAACTCTGCTCTCTTCTTGTCTCTTAAGGTTACATTTATTTGTTTCCTTTCCAATGCTCGCTGCGTCGTCCTCAATTTAAGCTGAACTTTCTTTGTAAGCCCCCAGGTATCAGCTCCGTAGGTAACTACCACCAAGATGCAGCTGGTATATACCTTTCTTTGAAGGTTAGTGTCAGATTATCATTAACCCTGTATTTACATTTAACATGTATTTTGTTAAATTGTATTTTTGAAGGTGTGTACACTTGCTATGTCTTGAAAACTGAAAGAGCAGTATTTGTATATAAGTAACATTATGTCACTTTAAGTGCTTCGCCCTTTCGGGAAACAGATTTTTTTTCTAAAATTCAAGGAACAAGTTGCTATTCTCACCAACTCTTAAATCGTGATCGCCCCCCCTCCCCCTACGTGCGCAGCGCCGCCGCCGATCCGATGGACCTCGCGCCAATGACAGGCCACCGCCAAAGGTGGAAACACCAGTGCGCCGCCGCCGGCAATTTTGGTAACGACGCACAGGTCTATCCGGCTCACTGACGCAGTCAGTGGCTGTTTACCCCACCGCGCTAGTCTCTCTCTCTTGGCCTCCCCTCATCCACGGTCCCAGAGCAGATCATGATAGTACCACTCTGGTTTCATGCCCTAATATTACGTTTTCAAGTGGCTTATGTGTAGCAAAATATGTCTATTCGTTCATTTCGAATAATTCCAAGTTTTAGAATTTTTACAATGGTGGAGAAGGTGGAGAAGGGATCGTGAATGTTGGACTTTGGATACTTACACAATTTGGCACACAATAGTAATTAGAGATTGCATAGCTTTCTCAAATTCAGTGTTTGCAGTATGGCTACTTAGAACTATGTAAAAACAAAAAATGTAGAAAAAAACTAATGACTTGAAGTCTTACACGTTTACCTCCATAGATACACATTTAATAGCTGTCGCTGTCAAAGATCTGGACATACTATTGTGGCTGCATACAAGCAGGCTGATTCACAGCACTTTGAAAATGCACAAGCGAGCTGCAACAACATATAGCAACTTTTTTTACACGAGAAAATACAGATTATCAAACAAAAAATTTACTCATGAATGCAATATATGGGGTGCTTCAAGAAATGCGTCTGATAATCCTTAAAGAGAAAGAAAATCTAAGCCTCCATATTTACTTTTCTGCTGTGGCATACACTTTAAAGACCCACCAATGGAAGCAGAAATGGTAAAGAAAGTAAACTAACTTTTTAATTAGTGAAGAAGTGGTTGGTTCGAAAGGAAGAACCCATTACCACCCTGAGCTTTCCAGAAAGAGGCCACTCATTAAAACTACACCATTCAGCCAATATCTTCACCACCAAAACAAGACACTCGGAATAAATGAGTCTGACTCAGCTTCAGTGCGTGTTGGATGCACTCGTAATTATAGCGCGTAAAGTGCATGCACGCCAGCAAATGTAAAACAGCTAACAGCAATGCAGTTATTGTCATTAACCATGTCGTCATTTTTACCATCCACTAGCTGTACTCGTTTGCACTTGAGCTTTTCTTTCACCTGTGCTTAATCCAATTCCATTGCTTTGCAAGAACTGCCAGGAGGTGCTTTTTTTTCAAAGAGGCAACGGTCTCTTCGAAGTAAGGATTTTAACTCTCCAGTCTACCTGAACTGACTCCCTTCACTAATGAAAAATCACTTTTGCTAATTATTGACATAACTAATGTCTCTAGCCATCTCAAAATGCCTGCTGCTACAGGGAAATTACTATAGACTCTTGTTAATCAGAGCCTGAAGGAACAAGGAAAATGTTCTGTTCAAACAGAGTTGCATTTGCCAAGAGATAAACTGCGTTGCAAGATCCTAGCATAAAACCACACAAATCAAAGCTGTTCAATATATTGAGGCCCGCAGCAGTTCTATACCAAGAAATTTTCATTTACTAAGAGTAATTTGGAAGGCAGCATTTCTCTTTTTTGAGGGTTTTTAAAAGTTATTTCTTGAATGGGCATCAGTTCTTCGGCTTTCAGGAGAGGCACATTCTTTTTGCTTCTTCCAATTAAACTGTGGCCATAAAGATTGCTACAGTGACAGAGATATCTACATGGGAAACCTGGTCGGCACATGACGCAGGCCAGGCCTGTGCGATACACAGGCACACATTCTAAAGCCTGGTTCTGGTCACCAAGACTGTCGCTCATGCAGAGAGAGAGACTTGCCTCCGAATTCGGTGAGGGTGTCTGCTCGCAATCGGTACCGAGGCAGCTGCTCTTCTATAAGGCTCACCAGCTCTACCTCGGCACCGTTACTGCTACTCAGATCTGCAAGGCACAAACAGAGCGATAAGTCACACCTCTGAAGACTCGATCAAGACCAACAACATAGTCGCCAGAGCACCCAAGTTTGATTGGTTGGAATGGTCTGGCTTTCTTTCATGGCACAAGATTAGCAGATTCACTCACTCTTACTAAACTAAATAACAAAATAAAGCAAGCACAGGTAAAATCAGCAACACTGCCCATCTACAATCAATGTACTTCTCGACATACCACGTCGTCCCACTACAAAGACAAGCGTACCTTGTAACGCGAGTAGGAATTTCAGTGAACTCATTTTCCAATATTTATTTGCACCACAGAAGACAATAGCGTGGGAACACAGCCAATGACATAAGATGTCACCACTCACAAAACCCAGCCAGATTACGGTGTACATATTACTTTATGTAGCATTAATCCTACAAGTTTGCTTGCCGTACATGTACGACAGTGCTTTTCTGTCCCACAGTGTCTTTGCTGCAAGGGTATGTTTTCGACTCTGCTTGAAATTTCATGTATGTAACGACAATGCATGCTTGTTAGGAAGAGCTTCTACTTACTAGGACTTACAAGAAGTGCTGGAAATGATTGCACTACCTTCTTGCAGAAATAAACAGAACTCATTTCTAGCACCAGCACATTGTGGGGTCAGTGGAAGCGCCAATGCGCAAATCCCATAGCGGAAGTGCCAATGCGCAAAGCCCATTTGCGGTTCCGATTTTTCTGTGTGATCGCTACACATGACGCACGATACTGGACTTCTATCTTCTACACTCTTTCACAGCGGTGGTGGCAGTTGATTTGCATTTTTATTGGCGCTGCTCATTGCTTATTTATCACTGATGATTACACGGTACTCTCATTGATTACAGAGTTTACTCTGCCCAAAGCCGCAGCAGGCAAAGTTTGCCAGCACAACTCATCGCTCCTAGAAGAGAACCAAAATGTGCGTTATGTGTGCGTAGACCTGTGTTTTGGGGAATACACTGCTCTGAAATACTATTGAACCATTTTGCCGTTCTGAATGATGACGACAACAAAAAAAAAAAGCTGTCCCTGGTTTTGTCACAATTTTTTTAACCACCTTTACAAGTTTCATACACTGAAAAACCACATTATAGTCATTTCACCATGTGGAAGTTTTTCTTAGAAAACTTGGACACTCAAAGCGTTAATAAACACTTCCCCTAACATAAGTGCTAGAGAACCTTCTGATCCAAGAAGAAAGCAGTAGCACTCGGTACGAAAACAATGACTGCAATGGTGCCATATTTTCACAAAATTATTCACAGTCTCAAAAGGCTGGCAAGCAGCTAAGGTGTACCACTCGTGTTCTCCGGCCCGGTTAAGCTGAGTCAGCTGAGCCCCCATGTACTTCTGGTGACGGGACGAGACCACAATGCTATATGACACGGCACTGTGTGGTACCAGATGTGACACAGCAGCGGCATACGTTGTACAAACTAGGCACTGCGTGAACTAGGAAACATAAACAAAGAAAACGAATTCACACATTTGCCTGCACGCTGCAAAGCTTGCAAGGATGAACCCCAATTTGTTAATGAGAAGATTCTTGGTAGAAGCAGCAAACAAACCACTCGCGAAGCTTGGGAAGCATTTTACATTCAGAAACTGGGTGAATTAGCAAAAGGTCCTTACAGCTGCACTCTACGGAGACTGCATTTTTTGATAATTGGCTACCCTGTTGGCTTGGTTTGTTGCTTTAGACACATGCATTGTATTTTCCAGTATACAAGGTGTCCCCACTATCACACAGCACAAAAAAAAGGAACACTGTTACACGAAGCACACCTAGTGCACATTGCAGTGATGCTACTGAGGACTTCCGATCTGGAGCAATTTTCGAAGCAGTGAAAATTTCCATCTCGGAGCACTGCAGAGCAGGTACTTTTGAACCTTGTAGCACTCTGGAGCAGCCAGTTTCACATCCCGTGGTACACAGACTAGAGAAGCAGGTTGCATTTACATTTAAACACATGAATAACGATTATGGGGCTTTTATTAAGAGCTAAAAATATTTCATTTATTGCAAATCTCATCGAGAAAATCGTCTCTAAAGCACTTCATACTTTGCTTTATAGCACCTTGCATTTGAGTGTTCTCAAATAACCTCATCAGTGATGTTTTTTTTAACTAGCAAAAAAACAGGGTATTGAAAATTGTACTATATGAAATAACATTCAGAACGTGTCTATGTGGTTATCAGCAGAAGTGGTAGACAAAGGCCACAATGTAAATAACTGTCTCAACGCTAAAGTCACCGCTGCTAATGCATTTCCCTGAGACGCCTCTAGGGCCAGGTTCTTTTTCATCTCAATCAATCGCGCTGCTAGGCACAACCCAACATCACCTAGCAAAAGGCCAACTTCTCCCTCCCCTTAGACCCCATGTGCCATTGTAGCAAGAGCATTCTGGCAGTGCTTTCAGTCACATTATAGCTCGCGCATGAGCCGGATTGCCTGGATAATGGCAATCCACTTTAAGCCGAGTGTGATGAGTAAAGGAGAGGCACAAGGCGCGTGTCGAACCTCGAAGCACGGAGACGATGCGCAAGGAGAAAGGGGAGTCACCCGACGTCACGCGCACCAGACATGTAAAAGCAAGAGATTGATCAGAGAAAGGCTAGTGGCAAGCGACCCAAGCCGAGAAGAAAAAACCCAGAGGATGAGCTGGCACTGTGCATTGGGGCTACGAACTGCGAAAATGGAAGGTCAGCGTTGCTACCATGACACGAAAGTATCTCAAAGCATCCACAAAAGTATCACAAAGTGCATTCAAAGAGGGGATTAGATGAGGCAACAAGCTTCGGTTTCATTTTACAGCAATGCAGTACACAGCTGGGCCCGAGCGGCCAAAGGTGAGCACAAACACATTCCTCTTGCATGCCAGTGGGAATGGACAGGAATTCTCATGATTCGCACCTTAGCCGGTGACGTCATGAAAGAATAAAAGAAATGTTTTGTTTCTGAAGTATCTTTAGTAGAATACCCGCCAGCCATCAGTGGTGGAAGCGGCGCTGCCGTCACCTTGTGAGAGCACGTACCGTAAAAGTACAGGGAGTTTCCGCACAAAGGTGGAACTACCGGCAATGCCAAGGCTTTGCCCTGATCGAACTGACATAGGGCACTGCTCGGTAGGCCATCTCAAGCTGGCTATCTCATGCTAGCCATCTTAAGAGCCTTCAACGCACCAAACCATGAGCCTCAATGCCAACATGTGTGCTACAGCGTAACCATTGACTAGAGATGATGATGATGATGCCAGTGACCCCACAGGGCCTCCCTTCCCTATGTATTGGAACCGAACGCTTCGAGTCGCAAGAGCAGAGAGCTCTTCATGCTACAGCATCTCATTTCATTTGTTGTCTGTGTGATAACATTGTTTAGTGCCGATTTTAATTAACGTGTTTCTTTTATATTTACATTAGCTTTGGCCATAATGTGTTTTTATTATTGTGTAATTGAAATCTCTGTGTCCGATCTTTCCCGATTCATTCCTTTCTGTTCACTTTTGTCCTGACATCTATGACACTAATTAATTGAACCTCATAAACAAAAAGTTAGTACTGGCTACTACAATATACTGGGAACAATATGACATAAAAGTGCCTCGCCTAATGAAATTCCTCTTTTTTTAACTTGTGCTGCATGATATTTGGGGCGCCTGCCCCAAATAAGTAAATTAAGTTAAAGGGGGACGCGGCTTTGGGATCGCTAAAAATGGCAAAAAAATCGATTTTTTTAAGATCAAGTTTTCAGTTTCTGGAACCCTTTTTCTATCCGATTCCAGAATATCTAGACTGAAAACCGCGCAGAAGTGCTTCGGAAAATTCGTTTCTCCCACCTAGGTAGCGAGAATATTTCTGGAAATCGCGAGAAAACAGCGATGTTCGAAAAATTATAGCTTCGCGATGGCGGGGCAGGCAGCCAGCTTCTTGGGCTCATCGGAAAGAGCATTTCTCTGTGTTTAACTTTCTCGCCTCAGCTGGCTCCTCCCATTAAAAACAAGCGCACAAAAAGCAAATGTTTGAAGATTGTTTTGAGGCCCTTGATTGGCTGTGGCCGCCATGTGGCCTCAGCTCGCCTCTCCATTGGCCCAATGCTCGCTCCGGGAGATCATCGTCTGTTGCTTGTGCGCCGCGACGACATGGCTCTCGAAAATCGCTACTTCTTAACGTTTTCACGGCTTGATGATCACTTAAGATATAAATACGCGTTAGTTAGGAGCCGTCAGCGAGTGCGCGATCAGGTTACTACAAGCGGCACGTCATCGGAGTCGTCTTTAGCCCTAACTCGGTCAACAGTGAGACGACGGGCAGGAACGACGCGCTAGCGCACTCGCGGCGCTGTGCTTTTTCGCAAGCAACGAAGCTGTAGGCAGCGGCAGAATCTCTTTACTATGAGCGGCCGCAACGAATGCACGATCAGATTACTACGAGCGGGCGCGCGGTTCACGAGCGCGTCGCGCCATCGGAGTCGTCTTTAGCCCTAACTTCGCTGACAGCGAGACTGCGGGCAGGAACGACGCGCTAGCGCACTCTTAGCGACGTGCTTCTTCGCAAGAAATGAAGCACATCACTCGCTAGCTCTCCTGAACCACGTACGGGCATTTTACGCATTGGCAGCGGACCACACAGTCAAGCTCGGCACCCCCCCCCCCCCCTTTTCACTGCCAAGGAGCCAAGGATTGCTAGGAAGAGCGGCTAGCAGTTTCAGGCGTCGTCACTCGAAAATGTGATGCCTAGCGCAGTGCGCGCCAATTTTTTGTCATCGAAATTACACATTTCCCGCACCGTCATCGAACACCGCCGGCAAGTGCATTACACGCCGGCTGCACTGTCCACGCGGACGCGCACTCCACGGTCATATGGAGTGCTGTCAATAAGCTTTTGTGATGCGATTTAAACGTGTGATGCGATTTATACGTGCTTGGAGCCGTGCTTGGTATCGCCATGAGCGTCTATGAATGTTCTGAGGCAATGA